GCTGGTGGGGCCGCCCCAGGGGCACAGCCGGGCCATTGGCCGTCGGCATCCTCAGCGCTGGCTTGAGTGGAGGGAAATTAGCGGCGGGAAGTTCCTACAAGGCGATGCCGGCAGGAGGAGGTGCCATGGAGTGGCCGTGTCCTAGCTCGCTACGTACCTGCCAGCCATTGGTGTGAGTCCACAAAGCCTGACAAAGAAACGAGGAACAAGCCACTTAGCAGGAAACATCAGGCAGTTCCTGGATGAGCACATGCTGGAGCACAGCCTGGGCCCACTCACCAGGAACCTCACCCACCACTCAAACCCCTGCAGACCCTCATCCTCTGCACCCAAGCACGTGGAGTCTGCTCACCCAGCTCCATTCACCCTCCAGCCCCTCTCCCAGGGGACCATGTCCCACAGGGATCAGGCTGCCAAGCAGCGAGGGCTCCAGGCAGGGCTGAGCTCAGCCCCGGCGTGTAGCAGCAGCCTGCAAACGGTTGGCATCAACCAGGAGAGCACAGGCTGCCCAGAGGACATGGCACAGTCCCCGCAGCCACCGCTGACCTTCTCCTGAACCACAGCTGGACAATCTGACTTCCTTTTCCCACTGCTGGTGCTTCCCCCACTTCAGCTTGTTCCTGTCAACTTTCTTTTTTCTGCACTTCCCCAAGTCCAGCCGGGCAGCCCCACAGCTGCCCCACACTGAGCAGGAGGAAGCCAGCTCTGAGCCCCCAGCCCATCTCCCGACAGGGCAGGCAAGATTAATTGGAATTAATTAACACAGCAAACACCCTCAGAAACCTCCTCTTTGGTCTTCGGATGCAGCACCCAAGGCGGGGAGAGGGAAGTACTGGAACAGGGACCTGCCAGCATTTCCTCCGGCCCACAGCTCGGTAAACATCCGGCTGGGAGAGCAGAGCTGAGGGTGAGGAAGGTGACTCACTGCTCCTGCCCTCCCTGGCCACCGGCTCCTGGCTCCGGCATTTGCCAGCAGTTTCCTGGGTAACCAGAGGCCAGGAGCATCCCTGGGAATGATGCTGCAGGGATCAGTGGCCACGGACAGGGTCTGATGCCAAGTGAAGCCACCAGCCTCGTGCTGAGCATCTGCTTTGGGCTCCAGACCCACAGCCACGAGGGACCAGCTCTCCAGAGGAGCAAGGGAAGACTGGTATTTACGGCTTTGCCTGGCAGACAATGGAGCAGGGGAGCAAACTTTGCCGTGGCTTCTGCAGACACACATTTCACTTTTAATTAAGAGTCCTTTGCCCATGCTGGGATGGACAAGGTGCCTGGTGCTGGAGCTGCTGCTCCAGTGGGGGCTGCTGGCAGCAAACATGGAGCCAGGACTGCAGGGATCCAGCAGCTGGAGAATTGCCTGCCCTCCCAGTGCTCCCTTAGTGAGCTCCTCAAATCCCATCCCAGTGCCACAGCCCCCACCTGCTGCCCCACAAGGAAGAAACCACCCAATCCCACTGTTCCACCTCACATCAGGTTGGACACGTGCTCGGTGGGTAAACACCAGCCCTGTTATCTCTCAAGGTCTGGCACTGAGCCTGGCACTGGGCAGAGCCGCTGCTTCCCGTTGGGATGAGCTGTGGGACTCAGCAGGGGCCCACGGCAGCACCGACTCATCCTCCACCACGATTTGGGTCACTGTGCCATGCCAGCAGCTCCATCCTCAGCTAAATCACCCCAACTCACGTCCACATCTTCATCTCCAAGCCTGTGCTTGCTGCCCTCCCCTGCAGACTGGCAGCCCTGGCTCCAAGCGTGAGCAGGATGGGCAGCACGACCCTGCCTGGCCTCTTAGCTAGAAATTGTCCCAACCCACAGCACCTGCTGGGACCACAGTGGTCCTGCCCAGGCATCATCACCCATGTCCTGAAGGTACCCAGGCCCAAAGCAGAGCTGCTGGATGTGAATGCAGCACAAATGCTAAATGAAGAGCATCCCTGACCCAGAGCAGGGCTGGGGCCAGAGGAGAGCTGGGTTGCCCCCACCCTCTCTAACAAGGTCACAGCAAGAAAACATTTTCTGCAGCCCACCCAGCTGCTGCACAGGGCTCAAAAGCTTTTTCTTTGCTCTGGTTCTACCATGCAACAGAAAAAAAACTGGACCTGCAGAAGAGGTTTTGATGATACCTGCCTGCTGACTGATGCAGGGAAAATGCTTCGCACTGAAATTAAATAACTTGAGAAACAACAAAAGTACAGGAGAGCACCAATAACAATAAAAAGGCAGGAGGGGGAGTGGGACACTGCATGTCCTACCCAAGGGCACCAAGGGATGCTCTGCAGATCCCCAGTGAGACAATGAAGGCATCACAGAGCTGGCCTGGGGCTGCAGACCCTGTGCCAGGGGGGCTGCTCCTGCTGAGCCCCCCTCTGGTGATTAACAACTGCAAAACCCTCAGCTGCTGGGCTCCAAGGCAGCAGTTTGGAGACACTTGCTCTGCCCCAAGCATGGCTCCACCAACCCCGTGCCAGCTGCAGGAGGGGACACCCTGCAGCTTTTGGGTGGGCAAATATCCATCCTGTGCCAGCCTGATAAGACCATTCTTGTCCAAAGCACAATGCCAAGAGGGACTATTCCCACTTGGCTTTATTTGTGAGATCTGGAATGAGCTGGAGCTAAAGCAGACCCCAGGGCAGAGGCTGAGCTTGTCATGGTCACTCCACACAGGGCCCAGCAAGGCAGAGGCTGGAGAACACCCAGAGAGGGACCAGGGTCATGTTCGGCCTCCAAGAGCCATTCTGCTCCTTTGAAGGCAGGGGGTGAGCAGCAGACTCCCAGCCAAACCAGGGCTTCACATCTGCAGCTTTGGGAATGCTTTGGTTTCCCTCCACCAGCAGCTTTGCCTTCCTTCCTCTGCAAGTTTCCTCTTCAGGAGAAGCCCTCCGGGGAGAGGCACTCACATCCAGGGTCTGTGCGGTGCTGCCGCTGGTGAAAACTCCAAAATACCCCAGCAATGCACACAAGAGAGGACGAAACCTGATCACTGGTGCTTGGCTCTGCTGCAGCAGGAGCTGAGCTGCTGGGATGTCCACAGCTGTAGAGCCCGGAGGACACACAGTCCTGCAGCAGCAACACTGACCTGCTCCATTAAATGCTTTTAAAACTCCCCATACTGACCACACAGGGCAGCTGGGTTGCTACTGGTATTCATGCCTAGACAGGGCATCCCAGTTTGAAAAGGCAAGGAGGGAATATTCTGCCTTTAAAGGGTCAACTCCTTTGCTGTTTGTTTTTTTTTAAGAAAGCGCTGGATTTTGAGCAAGCTGCCAGAACATGCTCTGGGGCTGGAGGCTGGAAGGAAGAGGAAGAGGAAGTGCAAACCCCTCTTAAAGTCTCCGCACAGCACTGGCACCAAAGCCAAATTAGAAGTTTTTTCTCTCTACAACCATCTTCTACCAGGAAAGAAAGGAAAAAAGGAAAAAGCTATGGGAGCTTTTGCAGTCCAAGCCCGGGCAGTGGAGAGATGCAGGGAATGAGGAAGCTCAGGGAGGTGCAGCTGTCCTGCTGATAATAAAACTCTAATGTCAACAGGGCAAAATCCAAGGGCCCTCAGGAAGGTGGGAGCCCATCGACAGCAGTGCTTCCCAGCCAGCCACAGACCACAATTTGCAAATGGAATTCTGCACATTTTAAGAAAAACAACCTCCTTTACACTGGTCCTGAAAAGCCCAGCCTGGCATTTAAAGCCACTTCCATTCTGCTGAAGGGTGAAACAAGGCAGCGGGGTGGACAGAGAGGCCAGGTCTTCACACACCCAGCTCCACACCTGCCCGTGGGACCATCCACAAGGACCTGCCTCTCTCCCAATGGCACGTACCCTCCCCAGCCACCAGCAGGGACACAGGACCCCACTGCCCAGCACTGGTCCAGCCTTGCTGCAAACAGAACCAAACGGAACCAAACCACACCGCTGTCTCACTAAGGGCATTTCCCCCAGGCTCGGGAAGATGCTTTGGGTCAGGGCTGGGCCACACTGTGCATCGTGTCCCCCCCCCCCAGCAGGCGCCTCACGGGGCCGGGCTGACGCCAGAGATAATCACATTTCCCTGGAAATGGCGAGTTGAAGCAGGGCCACAGCAGAAAAATGCTCCTGGCACCTCCACGGCAGAATCCTGTGCTCCACACCCCTGTGCCATCCCGGCCTGCCGGGAGGAAGGCAGCCCTTCTGCCAGCTCTTACC